TACCCAAGGTACATATACACCAAGTATCAAAGCATTCAGGCTTGTAGTTTTCAAGAAGAAGTCGAAAAAGTAAAACATTGACACGGACGACGACGGACAATCATCATATGATAAGCTCCGCTCGACAAAGTCGACAGCGGAGCTAACAAGCCATGCATGGCACAGTCCCCATTAGTTATCAAATTTAAGATATATAGTTTTGTTTATAGTAATATAGCTGGAATATAACCATGTCAGGAATATGATTTTTTTAACATTAAAATGATTGATGGTTTTTAACAAGAAGTTGAAAATATCACTTTTTACCAAAAATGACAAAAATATTCACCAAAATTAGAGAATTTAAGATATCATTACAAAATGCACAAATCTGAGAGAGGTCCACATTTAGTACCTATATATGTAGTATCAAAGCAATTGGATTTGCGGTTTTTAACAAGAAGTCGAAAATATCACTTTTTACCAAAAATGACAAAAATATTCACCAAAATTAGAGAATTGAAGATATCATCATGAAATGAACAAATCTGAGAGAGGTCCACCCAAGGTACATATACACCAAGTATCAAAGCATTCAAGCTTGTAGTTTTCAAGAAGAAGTCGAAAAAGTAAAACATTGACACAGACGACGACTGACGACGGACAATCACTTATATGATAAGCTCCGCTCGACAAAGTCGACAGCGGAGCTAACAATTTGAACATAATCAGTCAAAACAAGTCAGACATATGGGTCTGGAAACCCATAAATTAAAACAAAATGGCCGCCAGTCGGCCATTTTGAATGTTATCTGAAAAACAAAATTATTTGCATCAAGGTCCCATAATGTCTAATGTATATATCCATCTATAAACAGCCGAGAAATGCTTGATTTTTATGATTTTTTAGCACAAAAATGGCCGCCATTCGGCCATCTTGAATCAGATCGTAAAACAAACGTGTATGTATGGGGGTCTAAAACTAACTCTGCAACGCGATTGTGCGACTCGCCGTATATCGATTATTGCACTCTGCGACAGGATCGCAGTGTCACTCTGCAAAGAGCAAGATTCCTATTGGCTGGTTGGTCGAATAGCGCGAATCACAATGGTCGATGTTCAGCGCAAGCTTTATACAAAATTAAGTTTTAAATGGTAAACAAGCAGCCTATCGGCTGAGATAGCTCCGCTGTTAGCAATGCACATTTCAATTAAAGAACTGAAGACATCATTAGAAAATTAACAATATGCATAGTATCAAAGCAATCGGACTTACAGTTTTTAACAAGAAGTTGAAAATATCACTTTCTACCAAAAATGACAAAAATATTCACCAAAATTAGAGAATTGAAGATATCATCACAAAATGAACAAATCTGAGAGAGGTCCACATGTAATACCTATATATGTAGTATCAAAGCAATCGGACTACAGTTTTTAACAAGAAATCGAAAATATCACTTTTTACCAAAAATGACAAAAATATTCACCAAAATTAGAGAATTGAAGATATCATCACAAAATGAACAATTCTGAGAAAGGTCCACATGTAGTACCTACATGTATATATGTAATATCAAAGCAATCAGACTTGTGGTTTCAACAAAAAGTCAAAAGTGAAAAAATATTCATCAAAATTGGAGAATTGAAGATATCATCATGAAATGAACAAATCTGAGAGAGGTCCACATGTAGTACCTATATATGTAGTATCAAAGCAATTGGATTTGCGGTTTTTAACAAGAAGTCGAAAATATCACTTTTTACCAAAAATTACAAAAATATTCACCAAAATTAGAGAATTAAAGATATCATTACAAAATGAACAAATCTGAGAGAGGTCCACATGTAGTACCTATATATGTAATATCAAAGCAATTGCAC